TCTTCTCCCCCTTCCCTTTGCCGGTCCCGCCCGCACGCGCGAAGGAGGGACACGGAGGGGCAGCTGAAAAGAACTCGCCGGGCTCCGGCCCGACAGGAGATGCTGGTCTGGGGCGTGGGAGAGCGAGCGGACCCTCCGCCCCGCTGCACCGCACTGTCGCACGGGCCGGACCGAGGGGTTCTTTCTCCCCCACCCTGCGAGGGCGTTAGCCTCCTGGCAGCGCAGGCCCGGGGCCTGGTCCCTCCCCTCCAAGCCTTTCCACCGGCCCCACGCGGCCCGACCTGCTCCTGCAGCCGCGCAGAGCAGCGAGCGACCAGTCCTTCCATCCTCCTGTTAGCGTCTCGCGCAACAAGTGGCCGGAAGCGGAAGCAGTCGGCCCCGCCCGGAAGTGGAAACCCTCCCTGCCGGCGGTCTCGAGGCTCCCTGGGTGCTGCCGCCTCTGCTGCCCCCTGGCGGGATCCCGATGGCACTGCAGGGAGAACACGCGGGGAAGCCGGCCCGGTTGCGGGCTGCCGCGCTTCGCTTCCGCGCTTTGGGGGAGGCAGAGAGGAAAGGGAGCCAGGGCTGCTCTGTGCTTGGACTGACTTGGACAGAGGCACTTAGTAACTGCAGCTAGTGTCGCTCGAGGGCGTCAGTTTACCCCTCTGTGAAATGGGCACAGAACGAACCTCGTCTCTTTATTCAACAAGCATTTAGAGTGCACTTGAATATGCCAGCCGCTATTCCAGGCCCTGGAACACAAGCTGGAAACAAATCAGACCATGTCCCCGCTCTCATGGAAGCCATACTCTAGAGTGATGAAATACACTAGACAAAAAAGTAAATATCCATCTGTTTTAATTGCCAGGAAGATAATGTGGTGGAGTGGCGGGCCCCAGGGAAGACCTCTCGGAGCCGGTGATATTTGAGTTAAATTTTTAAACAGCTAGCCTGGGATGTAAGTTCTGAGGACATGAGCTTTAACTGTGTTGTTCACTTTTCGATATAGTCTCCGCACTTTATTTATATTTAAATGTTTTAATTGATTTTTTTAGAGAGGGATAGAAATATTGATGTGAGAAACATCGCTTGGCTGCCTCCTGCACACCCCCTCCTGAGGATCGAGCCTGCAACCTGGGGATGTGCCCTGACCAGGAATCCAACAGGGACCTCTCAGTCCAGGGGGTGACGCTCACTCCACCGAGTCACACTGGCCAGGCTAGCCCCAGTACTTTAAAGCAGTGGTCTCTAAATTTTTGGCTTCTGTGCCCCATAAAATAATTTTAAAAATTCATACCCCAGTGTAGATTTGTAAGAGTTGACATCTGGGAGCTCTTGCCATAACTTTAAATGATGGTAGTGGACTATTTTCTGGCATGCTGGTTCTTATATAAATGCTCTCAGGTATTTTCATCAAAATTGTGGAGCTGCAGATTTAGCTCATTCAATTTATGGAAAATGTCCACCATATGTCAAATCCAATAATCCAAATCTTATTCACCTAATTTTTTTAATCTAAAAGTTTGTCTTTATATTTATCATTTAAATCAAATAAAAGTATGTCCCTGTATGTTACTGTATGTCCCTGTTACACCATATTTCTAAATTCTGAGAGTTGGTGGGTGGACAAATGAGTGGACAGATCTCCATCTTCCCATCTTTTTTGTTATTATTGTTAATTCTCACCTGAGGATATTTTTCCAGTGATTTTTTTTTAGCTAGAGTGGAAGGGAGGGAGGGAGGAGAGAAACGTTGATGTGAGGGAGACACATCGATTGGTTGCCTTCCACACAACCCCAAAAAGGGCAGGGGATCAAACCTGCAACCCAGGTACATGCCCTTGACTAGAAACCGAACCCGAGACCCCTCAGTCTGCAGGCCGACACTCTAACTGCTGAGCCAAACAGGCCAGGGCAAGGGCCATCTTTTTATTAAGTTCCCTTTGCTTGGCACTCAAGGGAGTCACCCTCAGGAGCGATACATTCTTGGGGTATCTGGTTCAGTTCCCATTAGTTTACAGCCAGGGCCATGGGAGGGGTTCTATGCCTTTCCTGGTGGAAGAGAAGATGTAAAAAGAGAATTGGGTAAAATTTGCAGGCAAATCAATTTTAAGAAAGGCGATACAAAAATTCAGCATCTGGAAATGGATTTTCCTAATGTATCCGGGCGAACAGATCCTTTAGAACGCCTTTCTATACACCCCGAGGTCTTAGAGCCCGGCTTGGAAGACCCTTCTCCTAGAATGGAGCGTGTTGCAGGTCATGGCTCAAAAACTTGCTCAGTTGAATGAACAGGAGGTTCTAGGCAGAGGTGGCAAATGCAAATCGTCTGAGGCAGGAAGTAGACTTATTTGAAACCAGGAGGGGAATTGGGTGTTGGCAGCAATGGAGAGACTGGCAAAAATGAAGCCTTTGGAACTCCTGTTCCACCAGAACCTTCGTCCTGATCAGGGATGACAGAGGAGGAGGGACTAAACTCACCTCTAGGGCAGACATCTCATCTCACAAACACTTATTAAGGCCCCATTTTGCATCAGCTCCAACAGAAAACAAGGCAAGCAAGTTCCCTTCTTTACGATCTCACATTGTAGAGGGAAGACACAGTGAGGGAGCTGTGCTCTGAAGCCAACACGTCAGGTGCCTGCATCTGAGAGGGACTGTGGGAGGGTAAGTTGGATGGGGCAGCCCAGGGTCAGGGTGAGGTGGGCTCACCAAGCAGGTGAGGCTTGAGCTGAGACCTGAATAGTGCTACAGAGAGGGCCACGGGAAGTTGGGGTGAAGACACGGCGGAAGAGTGTACTTACCAGGCAGAAGGAGCCAGAAGTGCAAAGGCTCTGTGGTGGGAATGGGGGAAAGAAAGCCAGCATGGCTGGAGTCTGGTTAGCAGTTACCTGGACAACTCTTACTTGGCAGCTTTCTTAGAGACAATAAGGACAAAGCTGGCCAGTGGGCACCTGTGGCTCGGTTCACCAGGCACACTACAGAGCCAGGATGCAGTGGACCTGTAGTGCCCATGGCAGTTGCAAAAGCTTTGTAGTCAGAAGGCAGCCACTGGCTTTGTGAACCCGTCAGATCCAGTGAGGTTTGCGGAGTGTCTTTTCGCAGGCTAGCACCCTAGCAGTCCCTTTCTCCATACCCCATGCAGGGAAACCACAGGATTTCATGGCTTCGTTCCTGAAAACGAAGGTTCAAAGTCCCGTCAGTTAGGGCCTCACGGAACCACAGTGCTGTGAAACAGAAACCAGAGCTGAAAGACAACAGAAACTTCGGAGTCCGAGGAACGGGTTGTATGCTAGCTCTGGCCATTTATTACCCGAGTGACCTTGAGCAGGGCATTTCACATTCCTACGCTCTCGTTCCCTGAAGATTCTGGGGAACACATGTGCACGGTTACATGTGGCAATTTGTTTATTCTGCAAACAACAGGATGTATTGGTGGTTGGCGGTGGCTGCTCCCAGAGACTTCATGCCTCAGCCCACATGGGCCTTCTGCCTTCTGCCGAGGTGGTCCGGTTCGCCCCACAAATGCTCCGTCAGCAGGAGTGTCACTGGCACACTTCTCGGGCAGGATCTGACCCACGAAGCCGTTGCCATTCACAAGGAGGGCGTCTGCAGCTCCCCAGAAACTGCTGTGCGGTGTGAGGGGCTGACTCTGCTTGGAGAGCCGAGGTGTGACCGAGTGAATGAATCCCTCTGCACGACTCTCACGTTTTTATCGAGCACTTTCGGCTCAGTTCACCAGGCAGAACTACAAACAGAGTGAGGATGCGGCTGACCTCTGGTGTCAATCAACTGAGACCCTAAGGATACCCCTTCTTTTCCCACCTGTTGCATCTGCTTCTCTCCGCAGCGTTGGCCCGAGAAGTTGGAACCATGGCCACGGGTAGCTTTGGGGAGAGAGTCTCCTCTCTGACCTGCAGGTGGCTGAGGCTGGGGAAGGGCTCTGACTGGCCCAGTTGGGATCCCATGCCCATCCTTGGTCTAATCGTGGTGGTCAAGGAATGGGTCCCTGTGACTGTCCAGCTTGGGCATCTGTCCCCTTGCTGTGCCAAGCAGTGTCTGCAAGGGCAACAGCGGATGCAGAGCTGAGCAGTGCAGGTATTAGGGCCACAGGAGCGGCACGGGGCACAATCCTTGTGCTCTTGGACATACTGCCATTGACCGCGGACACTGATACTCATTGGAAGAAACCACAAAGCCAACCCTTAACGTGTGGGATGGAATGTCACAGAGGAGAGTGCGCTGGACACTGGGGCATTCAGACAGGCGACACTTGGGCAAGGAGAATGCCCTGGCCAGTGGTGAGACACTGGACTGGGCAGTCGGAGGGAGGCTTGGCAAGAGAAAGACCTGGAAGCCATCTGGAGAAAATGATGGATTCTATGCCACTGTGGGTTCCATCTACATGAGGAGCAACAGTCGGGTAGGGAACGTAGTGGGAGGCGGGGGAAAGCCTGAACAGCCAAGTGAAGGGGGCTCCACTCCCTCCATCACACCTCCCCTGACGGTCCTCAGTGGCCTGCAGATGGCCACGCGTGTTAGTGTCCCCTGTGTGACTTTCTAATAGGACGCCTCCATCCCTGCCTGGGCTTCACTCCCATCATGCCAGCTGCCCGTTAAATGGCCGTGTGCATGAGACTGACAGTGGGAACATGCAGAAAAGCAGGTCTCTGGGCCCATCTCAGCGGCCCAAGTGACTCAGATGTGGCTGCTGGTGCAACCTACTGGGAGGAAAGCCTCCCAGGATCAAGGCAGAGACAGGAAGGAGGAGGAGCTTCGCGGCTTGTCTGTCAGCGCTGACTGCCAATCGCCTGCAACAGCCCCAGCCGCGGAGCAAATGGGTGGAGGGGTGGGCACCAAACCCAGCCCAACCCAAACAAACCAGACCAAAGGAAACATCACCTGGACTGGGGGGTGGGGTGGAGAGGAAATGGGTGAGGAGGAGAGAGTCAAATATCAGGGAGACACAGGTGCCCGGAAGGGGGGTGAAAAAGAGAGGAAATGAGTTCCGAAAGGCCGCTTTATTGATGGAGATGAAGTGCCGAGCTCTCCACAGCCCTCCCTCACGCCCTGCGGTGGCTTCACGGGGCACCCGAGCCCGGCGTGGGCAGGCCTGTGGCCGGCTCCACGCTGCCCGCTCCACCTCAGGTGGCCGCGCAGAAATACATCGCAGCCCGTGAAGATTCACAGATGCACCCAGAATCCCCCAAACGGCTGCTGTGCGTTTTAAAAATATTGTACAAAACAGGTTAAGTAGGAAAGGTCAGCTGTACTGTGGTGTCCGCAGGACATCCTTTTCGGGTTACCGTCCCCAAACATTACTTATTGCAGTGAAACCTCTAGAAGGTAGAGCTGTACAAAAAAAAAAAAAATCTAAATTTTATTTTAAGAGCAGCAACCGGACACTGCTTTTAGTTCATTTAAATTTTCTTTCTCAAAAATACATTCCTAAATATACAAACTATACAATCTTGTCATCTTAATGCTGGTTTTTTTGTTTTTGTTTTTTTTTTGTGTGTGTGTGTGTATTTTTTTAAAATAATAATAGAACCCAAACTAAAAAATCTTCATCTTCAAACCAACAGGAGCGCTGGAGGACCTGTGATGCGGGACCTTCATGTAACACCACATCCACGACGTCAGCCACAGTCTACATTCACAGCACGGTCCGTGGAAGAGGAAATACTTTTCTGGCGCTAGACGTCGTCTGCAGAGAGGGCTGGGACGTTCATCCGAGGCCGGGTGAAAAACGCCATCTTCTCCCTGTAAGGGGCCACCCTTAGAGCAGGGGCTCGACCTCCCCGACAGACGCGGCCGGCAGGGCAACTCTGTACAGTGGGGGCTTCGGTGCATTGTCGGGTGTAGCAGCCTCCCTGCCTCTGCCCCCCAGATACCAGTGCAGCTCCCCCACCCCTCCTTGCAGTTTTGACGACCAACAATGTCCCTGAGGTGCCAAATGTCCTCGGGGAGGGACCTAAATCATTTCTGGCTTAGAACCACGGCTTTAGGGGACATGAGCAGGACCAGAGACATGTAGTTGAAATCAGGGGCCCGGGTTAAGAAGGACTTTTGGGCCACTTCCAGGGTTTGTTTTTGATCCTCACAGGTTAAAAATTGAGATTCTGCCTGGCTGGCGTGGCTCAGTGGTTGAGCATCGACCTGTGCACCAAGAGGTCGCCAGTTCAATTCCCAGTCAAGGCACATGCCCAGGTCATCAGTGCGGGGCATGTAGGGGGCGGCCAATTGATGTTCTCTCTCATCGATGTTTCTCTCTCTCGCTCTCCCTCTCCCTCTCTCTCAAAATCAATAGAGAAAAATATTTTAATAAAAAAATAAAATAAAAACAAAAATCGAGATGTCCACACCTGGTCATACAAATTACAGCACATTTTAAATGTTTCTTAGCCTTATCTCAGAGAACATCACAAGTCTAAACACAAAGTCCTCTGTGGATGGGAGGCACGGACAGATGGCATTGAGGCCCTCCTGTGAGACGCCGGGGTCCAGCCCAGCAAGACAGCGCCTCCCCGAGATCCCAGCAGGCAGAGCCAGGAGGCCTGGCAGGCATCTGTCACCCCCAACTTATTTATCATTCAGCCAGTCCTCTGCAATTACCAGTGATGGAAATGCCACGAGGGAAGGCCGGAGCAGGTGGCTCATTCATTAAACAAGAGGATCTAACAAATTAGCTCGCATTGCTGGGGACTGAGAAAGAGAGCCAGGCGGAGCGTGCAGACCACCAGGGGCAGCCTGGCAGGGGATGCGCATCTGTGACAGAGAGGGGTGCTCTGCTCCAGAAGGGGCCGCGGGACAGGGAGCACTAAGACGGAGGAGGCTGAGGCTGGGTAGGCGGGTGGGAAGGGGAAACCCGGGCGGGCTGGCCGGGCGCCCACGTGCGTACCTGAAAGACTGCACTTCCGGGGGCTCCTTACAGCTCTGGCCGCGGAGTCTGTGCACATCCTTGGCGGCCGCCCTCATCATCTTGTCCGTCTGCAGCTCCTCCTTGTGCCCTGCTCGGTCCATCTGTAGGGCGGAGCAAGCAAAGCTGTGAGGTTGTGGCGAGTCCTTTGGGCCTCCAGAAATGGGTCAGCCAAGAACTTTCTAGCACAAATGAGGAACTGCTTGTAGTCAAAAGGTCTTCAGGTCACACAACAGGGACCCTCACCCCTCCTGTGCCACTGTAGGATCCTCTCTATTCTGAACGATGAGGGAAAGCAGCCCCATCATCTGTGACAGGGGCCCAGGGAACTGAGCCTGTGTGCACCTGTCGGAAGTCAGATGAAGCTGTCGGGCGAGGCTACTTCACCTAGTCTTCAGGGCCACCTTGGGAGGTCGAGTTTATAATCATCTCTATTTGACAGCCCAGGAAACTGAGGCTCAGACATGCTAAGAAATGTATTTAATGTCGAACAACTAAGAGGTGGTAGAAACTCAATTCCAAGTAATGCAGTGTGCTCAAGGCCTTTGGGTTCATTTTGCCCCTTCCTCTGGATGCAAACCTGTGCAAGTACTTCTGGGAACAAACTACTGAGAGCCATAGAACATCCATGTACCAGATACTTAACAACACTGCACAAAGACAGAATTTTGGTCAAGAAGCCATTGTTGAAATGGCTCTTTAGTAGGTCACTATCGGACAGTCATGGATGTACTATAATTTACTGTTTGAAAGGTTGGGTTGTCTCAGTTTCTGTTTTCTTTAGGCAGGGCCCATATGCACTTCCTTTCTTACCTCTTTTTGCCTTGGCTACCGGGAAGCTCAAAGGTAAATGTAACTACGGTTTGGTTGAAAAAAATATGTATTTCTTTTCCTTCCTTGAAACTTTCTCTAATTTTCTATTTTCCCTTTATGCTCTTGATTAACTCCGTATTATAAGTATACAGGGTGTAAGTAATACATTAGAAAGAAACGTTTTTGGACTTTCTGGATTGCCTAAGCTCCCACGCTAGTCTTGACCTAAGAAGTCCCGCACGACTCTCCTGCCCTAGGGGATCGCCACCCGCGTCAAGGGCTGGGACTCCCACGGGTGGCCCTCTGCACAATCCAGGCGGGCACCGTCTTACCATGCACTTTCCCTTGTCTGGCTGTGTGCAGGCAGAACCAGCAAAGGTCTGTCATCCCTGCCATGGGTGACAATCTGGGAGTGGCAGGTGCCATAACAATGAGTCAGTCACAGATGGCCCTCAGTGTTGCTTCCTTTTTTATGGTAGTCTGGGACCTGTTAGCTCCAAAGTTCAAATTTTTACCCATGCAATTGTTTTAAATATAGCCCGAATGAGCATATTTGTAAACTATTTAGAATTTGCCTGCTCTGCATACCCTGTGAAGCTCCACCCGTTGTCTGCTAGCCCGAGATAAGATACACCCCGGGGCTATCAAGGACCCCAACTTCTGCTCTTTTGGAGGTCTTTGATCCAGAGACTCTTCGGGGTGCTGCCGAGTGATACCAGCTTGAGGCAGTAGCCCCCTCTCCAAAACCATCTCTCCTAGGAGTTCCCTCGCCTTCCTGCCCGCTCGGTGTGTCGTCTCTGGGAGGTCCTGTGCTGTGAGGGACTTCTCCCTCCGGCATGCTAACTTGTTTGTGAAAACTGTCCTAACAGAACTCGCTGGGTGCTACTGGCATTCCCTCAAATTCACTGCAGGAGGGAAGAGAAGTGAGGAGGCTTGTGTTCCCTGCTTGTTAGTCCCAAGCCCTGCCATGGTCCGACCCTCTCCGCTTCGGCGATTCCTGCTCCGTGGGACTGCACGGCCAGGTACCCGGGTGGGTCTCTGTTCTAGATTTACCGTTCGTGTGCTCCTGCACCGATGAGCTACCAGTGTTTGATGAAGGGCTGCACAGAGGAATACGTGTGTGAATAAGGGCTTGCACACCTCAATCTGGGAATGCAGCAAAAAGGGACTGGCTGCCAGGTCGAGAGTTGAGGTGTACTGGGCAATGGGGTTCCCGGATCCCTTGGCTGATGGGAATGAGGGCCCCGGGAACTCTCCCAGTGGGCCTCAGGCTTGTACAACCCACTCAGAGCTCCAGCCTGTCTCCCTTGTTGCGGCGGGCGGTCTCCAAGGGAGGCCACGCCGCACCCACGCGCGGCGCTCACCTGCTTCTCCAGCATCCGCAGCAGCAGGCGGAAGCGCTCGTCCTCGCGCAAACACTGTGGCAGCTCCTTTTCCCCGTGGTTCTTGGCTTGTTCGAGCTGCTCCTTGAGCTCCTTCAGCACCGAGATCTCCTGAGTCAGCTGGCTGTGCCAGGTCCTGGTGGCCTGAAGGTCTAACTCGAGGTCCAGCGAGGTGCGCATCAGGCGCTCGTTGCGCAGGGATTTGAAGGATGAAGGCTGTGGGGTGGGAACGGCTTTGACTGCTCGATACCCAGCTGGGACGAGTAAGCCCTTGTGACCCCCTCCTCTGGACCTCAAACAGCCTCCTTCGCTCCTCAGCAGGCTTCCACTCCTGCAACAATGCCACCCCGCCCCTCAGCCTGCCTCGGTGTCTTCCACTCTACAGCTCATGTTTACTGAGCGTGTTTATGTCCCAGGCACAGTGCTGGGCACTTGACTCTATGACCTCAGTTCACTGGCACAACCTGATGAGGTCCCGACTGTTATGCACAGATGAGGCTCCCAGCGGCTAAGTCACGCTTTGTAGGTGGTAAAGCAGAGATGCCACCCCAGGCAGTTGGCTCCAGACCCCATCATTCACTCCCCACACTGTGCCTGGTTCTCCTCTCCCAGCGTCAACATTTACGTTCCCAGTCAATACATTCTTGTCTCTGTCCTGCTCTCAAGTTGTCTCCTCAGTGCAAGTCTCCTCCCCCTCGAGAGCTGAAGCCGTGCCTTCTCCACGCGGGGTTCCTGGAATGGGCGTCTAGAGTCCCTTCGTGTGCAGTTCCTACTTCCCTGGCCGTGCAGTAACGGGTCATCTTCCCTTGGGGACCTGTGCCTCTCATGCTCGACACACGTGGTTCGTGCAGGGATTAGGGTATAGGAATGTCACCTGACCCTGGCAAGTCGAAACCACAGCGACGGCTGTGTTATCTAAGCCCAGCCGATAAAACTCAATTCTGGTGCCTTTGCTGAGCTATTTGGGGAAAAGGCAATATCTGTACACAGAGATGCTTAAGCCAGCAAGACATAAACCAAGAACTGATCATGGTCATCTTCACCATTGCATAAGGTGACCCAGGTTAAGAATTAAGCTAAAAAAAGCATCTGGCCGCTGTGGCTCAGTGATTGAGCAGTGACCCATGAACCAAGAGGTCGCCGGTTCGATTCTCGGTCAGGACACATGCCCAGGTTGTGGGCCCAATCCCCAGTGGGGGGTATACAGGAGGCGGCTGCTGATCAATGTTCTCTCTCATCAATGTTTCTCTCTCTCTCTCTTCTCCCCCTTTGTCTCTCTCTCAAAATCAATAAAGAAAAAAATATTACAAAAAAAACCCACAAAGAATTAAGGCACATTCCTGACCTAACCTATTTACCAGAATAATAATGTTATGCTTCCCAGGGCTGACTCAAGTCTCCCAGTTCACAAACTTCCATCACAACCGCAGGAACGACTTTCTTCACACCGGTGGCTGGGCAGCAGGGGTGGAGCAGCTCACAGCGGCTCCGCGAGACCTGTCTTACCCGCTTCATGCGGACGCTGCGCCGCTCCAGGGAGTTCCGAACGAACGGTGGCTTCCTGGACAGCGTGGAGCTGTCGCTGTCACTCCGGTTCAGCTGCGAGAAAAAAGTCACGGACGTCCAAGAAGGTCTGAGCGTACGGAGAAGGCACGCCGGGGCCAAGGGGGTTTCCCCCACCCAGCCCGGTGCTCTCTCCTGAGCAGACACCGGGTTCCTGTTCTCGGGGGGCTGCGGGGCAGGTTCCGGCGACCTCCCTCTCCTCCCAGGTGGACGTTCATGGAGCATGTTCTCGGCACAGTGCACACGGCTACCTGCTGTACGCGTGATAACTCCTCTAATGCGTCCTACAACCCCGCGGGGCAGCCGCATCCCCATGTTCCCGGGGAGGAGAGAGAAGCTTAGGACTTGCCCGAGGTTGGCAAGATGGTAGCAGCCCAGTACAACTACCACCAGACAGTGTGACTCCAGGACCGGCTGCCCCTGACCTACCACGCCAAGGCCTATTTGCATTGACCCTTCCCTGTCACCCACGGAGCCCATCGTTATGGGCTGTCAAGGCTGATAGATCTAGTCTGGCCGGTGTGGCTCAGTGGCTGAGCGTTGACC